CGGGCGGGCGCCGGCCCAGCCGGGGTGTGCTGTCTGTGAGTCAACTCTGCTACTGCAGCCACATGGAGTACACTGTCAGCGACCACAAGCCAGTAGTTGCCATCTTCGCTGTGCAGGTGAGCACTGTCCAGGGCTGCTGGGCACACAGGCAGGAGCTGTAGGGGTGGGATGTCCAGCTCATGTGTGTGGGGCTTTATTTCTCTTTGGCAAGCTCAGCTGCCTTGCCCCTGGCAGGGGGCTGCTGTGGGTGTATGCACAGGGGCAGGTATATGCCCTGGGCAGTGGGAGCAGCTCTTTGCCATGCCCTTCCTCACCATGTACCCATCTCTGACAGTTTCCTTCCAAGGTGGACAAGCCCCCGGTTGAGATTTATGTGGCTGACGAGTGGAGCAGGCCTGAGCAAGCAGTTGTCAGGTACAAGATGGCTGTTGGCTTCCACCGGAGCTCCTGGGACTGGATAGGACTCTACCGGGTAGGGGCTTGGGGGCTGCTGGGGCTGGAGGGAGTGGGGAGCACTGCACAGCACTGCGGGGTCCCTTCCCTCACCAGCGAACACGGGTGCATGGCGTGGAGCTGTGCCCTCCCTTCCCCTGGCAGCATGATGTGGCCCTGCTTCAGGAGGCTCAGATCCAGCAGTTCCCTCTTCCTCACCCCACAGGGCCCTGGCACACCTGGGGGGTGCAAGGCAGCTCTGGGTCTCCCTGTGTAAGCAGAGAGAGCTGAGGAAGAGGAGAGTGAAGGCTGAGCCTGGGTGATGGTGCTGATTTGGGCTGCTGTTCCCCCACTCACCTGTGTTGTGTGTACGTGTGCACAGGTTGGCTTTCGGCACCCTAAAGACTATGTGTCCTATGTCTGGGCCAGGAGCGATGATGGGGAACGCTGCCTGGAGAAGCAGCTGTGTGCACAGGTGAGCTGGGGCCAGTCCTGCTGTCCCACTGTGGGGTGACAATGGCCCCTTTGTGCCCCTGGATGGGGCAGGAGGGCTCCTCCTTATTGCTTTTTGCTGAGCCTTGGGCACGTCCGTGGTGCTGCTGGCAGGGATTTGTGCTTTTGGCTGGGGCTGGAGGTGGGAGGGGGCACCCCTATGCCCAGCCCTGGTGCCCATCGGGTGTCCCTGGTCTGCAGGTAATGTTCTCGGAGGAAGCGCTGCCCAAGGGGAATGGCGAGTACATCCTTGGATACTACAGCAACAACTCCAGCAGCATCGCTGGTGTGACTGAGCCCTTCCAGGTCAGCGCAGCCAGGAGGCTGGGGGAGGCAGGGGGGAATATGTGTGGGGTCCCTGTGGGGCCAGCTGCTGTGGTACCCCACAGCCCCCTGTGAGGGTCAGCCAGCAGTGCTGATGCAGGGGTACAGATCTCCCTGCCCAGGTCAGAGGAGGGCAGCAGCTCCACGGACAGCTCTGGCAGCAGCTCCGAAGAGGATGACAGCACGCTCGTCCTGCTGGCCCCCAAATCCCGCAGCCCCAGCCCGGGCAAAATGAAACGGCACCGGAGCCGAAGCCCCAGCTTGGCCAAGTTCCA